CCTCCCTCCGGACCTTAGGTTCCTGAACACAACTATCCATCTTTTCTCTGTATTGGGATCACTCCAGAATGACATCTATAACAATGCAAGACTGGCGGTAGCTGAAAACCCAGTGTAAATATTTTCAAGATTGTTTGAAAACTGGCCTTTTCCCTATAGAAAATTCTTGATATTTTGGTGAGAAACTGAAACCCAGAATGCTTTAGCCAGAATCCAAATGATTTTGTTTCAGAAATGCTGCTGAGGTGCCTCAGGATCTTCTTTTTAGACTGGACTCTCTGATGACAACTTTCACAATGAAGCATGATCTACCCTTCAGGTAAGGAGAGGAGGTTTCATCGTGAGCATCCCAGATTATGGTGCAGCATTGGAGATTTAGTCTCGCAGAGGCCCTTGGCCCATTAGATGGGAATGATAATATGAGGAAACTAAATTACAGCTCACGTGAAGCACCAACTCAAGCTATCCAAAATCTAAAATATTTTAGGTTTTGGTTTAAACATGTATGTGATTGGATGGTTGATGTTATTGACAATGAAACTGAAAGTTACTCCAGAAAGCAGATTACTTTTTACAAAAAACATTTCTTTATTAAAAACCTGATTTTCCATCAACATGCAGTTGTCAACAAGCTGTATTATTTGTAATTCTGAGGTAAAAATGAAAGTTAAGTAAATAACTAGCATCCTTCATGGGAGAGAACAGATAGGACTTAGATGCAGTGATTACAAAGGAGTTTACTTATTCAATGTACTATAAGTGTGCACATAGAGACAGGATCCCTGTATTGCTCTTTTGCTCCCTGGCTAACTAAATATAGCCTTCCTAAATCTTGGACTGGACTCTTTGGTTTTGGGATAAATGGTGGATTACACTATAGTCATGCCAGGGTGATTTTCATTCAATTCATAATAGTTTGTGTCACTCAGTTATATGTAATTGTAGGAATGATGAGAAGGAACATTGATATTACATAAAATATTATAAAGAAATTAAAACCCAAACACCTGTGAGTGAAACAATGAGTTCAGAATTGTAGCCAAAATCCTAATGCTGCAGCTTGAAAAAAATTATACTATAATAATAAAATATTAATCAGTAATTGAGGAATGAATTGTGTTTATGTTCCCTGCCCACGACTTGACTGTTTCTCAGCAAACTGTGACTAATTTGTAGGAAGTTCAACGTTTGTCTTTCCTATGATGCTGTACAGCTCCACACTTTAGAAATGTACATAAGAAAAATAGTCCATGAGAGGACTATTTGTCATACAGTAGAGGAAAATCTGGGATTTAACTATGGACTGTAGTCTTTTCCCACTTCCTACATCTGTGACAAATCATAGAACACTAGACTTGGAAGGGAGACAGAGATCATCAAGTCTAGTCCCCTGCCCTCATGGCAGGATCAAACACAGTCTATATCATCTCTGATAGATGTCTGTCTAACCTGCTCCTTAAATATCTCCAGAGATGGAGATTCCACAACCTCCCTAGGCAATTTATTCCAGTGTTTAACCACCCTGACAATCAGGAAGTTTTTCCTAGGCTTTGGCTACACTGCTGTTTTTTTTCCAGAAGAAGATATGCAAATCGTGCTTGCATTTGCATGTTTTCTTCCGATTCTTTTTGTGGAAGAGATTTTTTCGATATTTGGCCCCCATGTAGACGGGGTCAAATGTCGGAAAAAAACCCCTCTTTTGCAAGACCCTGTGAAGGGCAAAAATCCCAGTAATATGTATGTAAGATCTTGACCAAAGTCTCTGTTAAGAATCTTTCACATATGCCCAAACTGGAAGGGCCTGGTCTGACACCTAGCTAACAACGAACAAAACATGGCTAAAAAGGGAACAGAGATAAGCAGAAGACAGGCCTTGTTTGTACAACTAGACATGAAACAAGTTGAAACAGCAGAACCCCAGTTGCAGGGCAGTAGTTGGGGCCTTATCATGAATTATAGACACTATTCTTTGAGAGTGACCTTTAAAGTCTGCCTGACAAGTTCAGGAGGCGATCGCAGTGTATCCTCCCCACATATCAGCCAGCATTTAGGGACGGGAGATGCCCAGCATGAGTAATGATATCTGACCCTCACAGATGCTAATCCAGTCCAAAGGGATGTGATTGATAAACAAGTTGCCAATGCTGTGTATTGTTTACTGCTCTCTTTGTTTTAAGATCACAGAGGAATGCAGCTGTGAGCAAACCTGTCGGGGAAAAGCCACCCATCATTTCTATGGACCTGAAATCTGGATTTAACTTACTTACTGCTAAAATGACACTTGAGCCGTAACACCTGTTTATTAGCATACATGTAAACCTGAGCCATTATGTAATCTTTTAGACTATTGGATTATTGCACTCATTAGGTCTTGCTGCTAGAACCTATTCAGGGGCTCGGAACTCCCACCCCGTCACTTCTTTCTGCCCATTGGCACCCTATATAATCTATAGTAGTCCATTGTTTGGCAATCCCACTGAGATTAACAGCGAAGTGATACTCTGCCAGCGCTGTGCGTAATAAACCTTTGTGTTTGGATCTACACGGTGTTGAACTCCTGTTCCTTCACCCTGTAAACCTGAATTTATGAGGAATAAGGGTCTTGCGAAAGAGGGGCTTTTTCCAACATTTGGCTCCATCTACCCGGGGCCAAATATTGGAAAAACCTCTGCTGCAAAAAGAATCGGAAGAAGATATGCAAATGCGAGCGTGGTTTGCTTATCTTCTTCCAGAAAACAGTGTAGCCTTAGCCCTAATGTCCAACCTAAACCTCCCTTGCTTCTTGTCCTATCATCAGAGGCCAATGAGAATAATTTTCCCCGCTCCTCCCTGTGACAACCTTTTAGATACCTGAAAACTGCTATTGTGCCCCCTCTCAGTCTTCTCTTTTCCAAACTAAACAAGCCAAGTTCTTTCAGTCTTGCCTCATAGCTCATGTTTTCTAGACCTTTAATAATTTTTGTTGCTCTTCTCTGGACCTTCTCCAATTTCTCCACATCTTTCTTGAGATGTGGTGCCCAGGACTAGACACAATACTCCAATTGGGGCCTAATCAGTGCAGAGTAGAATGACTCTGGAAGAATGACTTCTTGGGTCTTGCTCCCAACACTCCTGTTAATGCATCCCAAAATCATGTTTGCTTTTTTTGCCAAAGTGTCACATTGTTTACTCATTTAGCTTATGGTTCACTATGACCCTCAGATCCCTTTCTGCAGTACTCCTTCCTAGACAGTCACTTCCTATTCGGTATGTGTGAAATGGATTGTTCCTTCCTAAGTAGGAGTCTTTGCATTTCTCCTTACTAAATTTCAAATAGATGTACAGAAGCTGAAATCCCATAATTAAAGGGAAGAGACAATTACATACTCTTATATAACTAAATTAATGGACATAATTTGTTTTATCTTGGGGATAGAAATGCTCTTGAACATAGATAAATCTTACTACTACAAATGTATATTTGTACTAGGGTTCCTTTAAATAAGAAAGGTCTTTCACAAAGTGCTTTTCACAAAAAGTCTGTGCACAGTTCCAATTGGTCTATAGAAGTTCACAGCTGATCAGTGGACTTCTCCCCAGTGCCCGAGTACAGGCCATACGATTATTCCAAGATCATTCATTCACCCACCCAGTACAGTCATCACTAAGGTGGAATACAGCGACTCCAAGTAACAGTTTTAAGAATCAATGTGAAGAATAACTCTCCAAATGAAACTGAAGTGGGTAGTTTAGTGAACCAAGATTGTAATGCTAAGAAAAGTGTAAGAATTTCATAAATCTTTTAACAGTCATCTCAGCCAATTCTTATTCTTCTACACGATGAATGTGTTATAAGATTCAAGGTGACAAATGCAGAAGCCACCCCTGCTGCCTGAACAGAATGGCTCAGACCCTGGGCTACAGGCAGAGCAGCCTTTTCTTGCTCCCTTGCTGCAAAATGGCACTAAAACTTGCCACAGCAGCATCTTTGCAATGCAGTGTAATTCTGAGGTGTTATGGCAGCATCAATGTAACTCTTAAACCATCCTCATTTTTTCTGCCAGGGGTAGTAGCCTGGCTGGGAATCCCTGTGCTCTCCCCAGCTGCAGTAATAGCCTCTCCAGCCACTGTCAGCACGAGTTGTACCCAGTTTCAGTATGCTCTGATTTGTATCTCGGAATAGGCTCAGAGTAGGAGCTGCTAGGATTCAGGGAGCATAAAGGCACTGGAGTTGGAAAAGGTGCAGAGAAGGGCAACAAAAACGATTAGAGGTACAGAACAGCTGTCACCTGTGACGAGATTACAAAAGGCTGGGACTGTTCAGCTTAGAAAAGAGACGACTAAGGGAGGATATAGTCGTGGTCTATTCAATCAAGATGGTTTGTGGAGAAAGTGAATAGGGAGGTGTTATTTACCCGTTTAAAAACACAAAAACCAATGGTCACCTGATGAAATTAATGGGCAATAGGTTTAAAACAAACAAAACAAAGTTCTTCAAAAAATGCACAGGCAGCTCTTTGCCAGGGGATGGTGTGAAGGCCAAAAGGGTTAGTGCATTCAGGAAAGAATGAAAAGTTCAAGGAAGATAGAGCCATCAATGGCTCTTAGCCAAGATGGTAACGAATGCACCACATGCTTTGAGTGTCTCTCAAACTCCAACAGCCAGATGCCGGGACAGAGGGGATGGATCACTCAAAATGCCTTGCTCTGGTCATTCCCTCTGAAGCATCTGGCACTGGCCACTGGAAGAGGCAGGATATTGGGCTAGATGGACCATTGGTTTGACTCAGGGTGGCTGTTCTTATGTAGCTTAAGATTATCTTTGGATCCTCTTCCCAGCTGCAGTGAACACTTATTGGGGGCAATGGAGCACCTGTTCCAGAATCTTACACCTTACCAAATGGACTCTGAACCTGTATGTTGAGATACAAATTAACAGCTTTCCCATTAACTAGAGCAGAAATCAGACAACACAAATACCAAAAGGAGAACGATATTCAAAAAGAGAGAGTAGAACAAACAGGTGGTAGAAACATGACCTTTCTTCATGAGGTCAAATAGCTTTATTGTGATTAAACACTACAATACAGTATATGTCCATAAAAAACTCTATAGTGTATATAAATTATTCCTTCCATTCAGCAATTCTTTTTGTTGTTGTTGTTTTTTAAATTTCCATTACAGCTTTGGTACAATGTGATTTTATTATATATTTTTAAATACTTTTAGCTTCACAAACTCAACACAAAGTACAAAACTAATCCGAATCAGGGATATTACAATCTACACAGTGGTGTTCAGTGGTAGGAAAAAATCTTACCTCAATGAATTCATGTCACTAGCTAAGCTATAAAGGCATACCTAGCAGACATGACAAAAATATGCACCATGAACCAGCAAACATTTTTTAATTTATTATTTTTTACAGAATTCCAGCAGCAATTGCTTGAGCACTGTCAATACTTATGTCCCAACTGATTATCCTGTTGTGCTCCTCTTCATTTGAAGGCCATGAGTTATTTGTCAAATAATGCACCGCTATCCTTGTGTATTCACACTATGCCACAGTGTCAGTACTTGACCTGCCACCCTGTATTGTTAATACTTGCACAGTTTGTCCTGCAGCTGGCAGTGATAACTGGAACGTTATTGGAGGGGCAGTGTGGGGCAATCAACCTTAAGTTGTTCTGTGGAGTGGGAGGTATAACATTACAGTAAACAGGCATTCCAGTGGCTGTAATTGTTCCTTGACCTGATTGATTAGGTAGCATGATTGGCTGTTGATATGATTGTTGTGGCAGTCCTTGAGAACCCTGCGTCATTGGCACCTAGGAGACAGGGTATAAAAAACAAATTGGTAAATTAGAGCCAAATGAATTAAAGAATCCCCAGTGTATTCTGAATTGCCCATTCCCTTTTACTTTGATTTGCATATCAAGTGTATATTACCAAGCATAGCACTTTCTTCTATTTAGAATGTCCATGGAATATATTGTGTATTAGTGACAGGTTGAAGTAGAAGCACTGATCCACCAAGTTAATTTTCTACTGATGTAAAGCTGGTGGCCCCTCAAGGGTTTTACATTAAGGTATACGTCTAGACTGCAAGCTTCTTTTGAAAGAGAACATCCACATCTCAAAACCGTATCGAAAAAGTGATCTGCTTTTTCAGAAGAGAGCGTCCAGACTGCATGGATGCTCTCTTGAAAGAAAGCCCTGATTGCTATTCACGGAATGGCCACTAGGGTACCTGTGCTTTTTTTGATTACCTCTTCTTCTGAAAAATGTCCCTGTTCTTCCTCATAATTTGAGGTTTACCAATGTCGAAAAAAAACCCTGCGATCTTTCGATTTAATTTCAAAAGAACATGGTTGCAGTGTGGATGCAGGTGAAGTTTTTTCGAAAAAACAATGTAGTCTAGACATATCCCAATGGTGTAAATTTACTGTTTTATCTTCTGCCAAGGCTGGGCTGGCCAATTGCAAAGCAGCTCCCCTTCTCATCTGTTGTGAGCAGAGCTAGTAATGGGAAATCAAGCCTACAAATTATTTTATTTCTGTTGAGACAAAATCTCACCTACTTGGTTTTGTCACTGCAAAGCTAGGTGTGATTCTAAACAAATTTCTGTTCTGTTTGCACATGGATGAAAGGTTTTTGAGGGCACGTCTCATCCTTATACTGGCAAAAACAGAGATCTTTCTATTTGATGTAAGCTCAGGTGGGAGCCTAAAAGAAGGGAGGTTTTTGTCGATGGGGTTTTTACCCCACACTTACCCTGAGGGGGTCAATACAGGCTAAGAAGGGGGCCAATTAACCAGACAAGCCATAGCAGAAGGTAATCAGGTGGCTTAAGCCATTCCCTGACTGAAAATAAGGGCACGTAGCTGAGGAGAAATGAGCTGGTCTGGCTTTATAACAGCAGGAAGATAGCTACAAGGAAGTTGTCTGCAGTCATTCTCCGGGTGAAGTGTTTGGAGGACTACAGAGCTAAAGAGACCTACATTAGTCTCTAGAAGGAGAGAGTTTGATGGCTGGCAAACCTAGAGATATGGGGGAGCCAGAAGGCTAGGAAAAGCTCAGAGAAAAGGCAGTAAGGGCCAGAATAGAACAGACATTGGCTGCTAATTAGAAGATCCCTGACCTGAAACCTGGAGTAGAGAGTGGGCATGGGTTTCCCTACCAACCACTGAGGAAGTGAATGGGACGATTGCCTGAGCCCATCCATAGAGATAAGATTTTGATGTCCTGGTATGAGAGGACACACATGACTTGACTGGAAGGCTAAGCCATGGTCACAGATGAGCAGTGAGACAGAAAGGAGGTGTTGGACCGGGAATCAGCTGATCCCTGCAGTGACCAGGAGGAGGCATACTAGCTGGCGGCCCCTTGAGGGTGGAGCGGGAGACTGTCTCACAATCAAACAGACATTGTTAAAGGATTCCTATGTTAGACAATTCAGTGGTAATGGAAATGGGCTAACTAATTTGAACAGGTTAAAGACATCAGCCGAGATTTTCAAAGCTGTTTATCTATATAGGTTGCAACACTCGGGCTGATTAACCTACTCGTATGCAGCATAATCAGCTGAACCAAAATTTGCCCCATAGGTTATATTATCTCACACTTCTGTCTTTAACCTAAGCAGAGGGTCATTTTTGCCCACAAACCTGGGCAAAACACTTTCTACCAAACACTCACTTCCCTTCTCTGCCCCCTCTGCCCTATCTTTCCAGGAGAGTTAACCTTACACTTTGGTAATAAGAACAGATTATGGAAAAGATGAGAGGCCTTGCAACCACTGCAGGATTTTGAAATGAATTAAGTCTGCCTTTGGCTTTCTGTGAGGAAGTGGAAAATAGAAGCATGTAGAAGCATTCTTGTCACCACATAGGCCCTTGTGGTTCCCTCAGTCAATCCAGCTAAAGTAGGGCAGTCAAGAAATCTGGGTAAAATCCAGTTACTTCTTTTCTTCCCAAGTCTAACAAACTCAATTCCACATGGGTAGCCTGTCTACCAGAACACACAGCATAAAGTCTGTTTGAGTGTGGGACAATCTCCCCTTCCCCTGACATTGGTGCTGGAATGAGGGGGAGACTGTTTCTCTTGTGTTCTCTCTCTCTCGCTTTCCAATTCCAGCTCCTCAGGGAAAGAACCAAGGCTTCCTTTATATCCAATGCAGTGCTGACCAGTTTGGCCATAATTAATAAATTATCACCTTAATGTAGTCTAATGTAAAATGAAAACAGAAGTACAAGGCAGATTAAAAATCACGTAAAGAGCACAACATTTGAGTCCGAAGAAACCTGAAGCTAGCAATAGGAAGAGACAGCCCTCGCTGCATGAGGTGACATTACCATATACTGTAAATATATATTTTCCAAAGAGAGAAATTCAGTATGGCTTATAAGTACCTGATAAGACGACATGGCTGGATACTGAACCATCATGCCTTGCACCTGATTTCCCTGCTGATTATTCATCAGGTTCTGACTCTGGGGAGGTTGCTGCATTCCCATGAGTCCTTGGAACCCTTGTTGCTGATTAGGCAAGACGGGCTGATAACCTGAAAGAAACAATCATTTTCAATTGTCTATGAATCAGTCACTGAGGCAAAACTAAAGCCGTTTAGAAACCCCCCCACACCTAAATAATAGGTTTTCCCGTCACATGTCCTGTGCAATCCAATGCCCTTTGAGAGAACCATTAGCAGATATCTAAAACTAGGTGAACAGAACACTCAGGAATAGAGGCAAATTGACAGTTCTGGAAGATGAAACATAGTATTTAGACATAGAACAGGAATCCTGAGCCAGAGTCATCTTTGAGGGAAACTTAGCTGAAACCTCAGCATTTGACGTAAGACCCTGAACAGATATTCGTTTTTAATAACTTTTGGCCACTTTGAGTTAAATCCTAGATCCACTGAACTCAATGGCAAAAATCCCATTGTTTTACAGGGATTTTACCTTTAAATGACTTAAAGGTGAAAATGTTATCTATTGTGTGAGCCATCAAGTCTTCAGCAAAGTGGGAAGGCACTAGCAGAAATTAGAAAGGGAAAACAATTTTTTATCATTACGCAAACACACTTCTGCTTCCTTATTAGGGTTTTCATTATAGGGCTGTCTCTAATTTATAGCTAGTACATGCTAATGCTCATATTATGCCCTAGTGACTTCTTCTGTGCCTACGTGGTGTGTGTTCTTTGCTTTGCTCCAGTATAAATAAAGCCAACATACAACAGACCAAGAAACCAGCATAGAGAGAGAAAAAATGGCTTCTGATTTCAGTTACTATCAGCTTTACATGCAAACCCACCACAATGTTAAAGGTTTGAAAATTTCGAATGGGATTTCTGCTTCTGTAATGTGCTTCCCTTTTAGGTTAAGTGAAAGAGCTGAGGCTGAGAGATTTGCAATGTTTACAGGCCAGGATGGCATGGAAAGTAGAGAAGGAAGAGAACCAGGCTGTGACCAGTGGCAATCTTAGGAGATAGTATGTGCCAGTGTCAGTGGTTTCATTAGTACCATATGAACAAGGGGATTGGAGAGTCTTAATGGGGGGGAGGGGAGAGTCTACCATCCTTATGCTGTACAGAAACCAGGTGTGGAGAACAGAGGCATCCCAGCCCTACAATATATCTTCAGTGAAGGAACATTGTAAATCTGAGCTTATTTTTCCTTAATAATACCTCTTCCGCTCTGTTTTTTGTTGTTTGACATTGTTATGCACAGCACTGCACTTTGCACTTTGCAGTGGTTGTCTCTGAATAAGCATACTTCAAGCAAATAAGAATTACTGCACAGAGTAAATATTGTTATTTCCATGTGACAATGTAAGTGTCACATCTGCTCCATTTATATTCATGAATACAGTGCGTTTTCAATATACTCCACAAATTGAAAATCATCATCTGGGCATTTCTTGATTATATAAAGAAATTTAAAGTAAGCAACTGTACTATTGTGTGGTGATAGCTTTCCTCTAAAGGTTTTTATACAGGAGAAATGTGTGGCACCTCTGACCAGAATTTTTGGCTTGCTTCACATTAAATATGTTTTTCCAATAGATATGAGATCAGCTTCTCCAGTAAATCTAACCTAATGAAAAAGATTTAATTCCCTTGGCAACAAATTATTTTGGCTGGAATATAGAATCATACCTCTCTCAAATGCGCTGGGATTATTAGACTCTAATTTGCTGATTTTTTTTTCCCCCACATAAACCTGGTATCAGCATATTGCCTACTCCTATAAATTATCAACATTAGAAATGTGAAACACCGAAAAGGTGTTTGCAGAATGCATACATATGTATGTTTCACATCCTCATCTGTCCCTGGGTAACCTCTGTTTGGGGTGAGGTCATACATTAAAAAGCCTATCATCACAAAAATGGGGATTTGAAGGACAGAGTTAAAACATCTGGAGTCACCTAAAAGCGGAAGCAAAATTAAATCATTTTAGTTCACCTGTTTTTCTTCAAAGTACCACCATCCTTTAAGTCTACTAAGAGGCAGTCAACTGAGGAACCAAATGACAGCATATAGTGGAAGTGGGCAAGGATATACAGGAAAAGGACATCAGACAGCAATGTGATACACCTGTATAGTATGGCAATTGGTGCTCTACAGTACTGGGGTCAAACAATGGAAACCCTGCTGTTATCCCTCAAATGCTATGGGATTACCAAAGCTATATAGTTACTCATGGGCTACTCATATGCGTTTTCATGTCTAGTTGATCTTGTCTATTTCCACTGAATGAATGAGTTCAGTGATAGGTAAAATTGCTTGTTAAACCTTGACTTCAGCTTATTATGATGTGGATCCACTATGTATCCATTCTTATGCAGAATATGTAGGAATCAACCCACTAGAATACGATGCCTCATAACCTCAGCTTGAGCAAATCCATACATAAAAATCACTACTACATTAACAAATGAAGCACTGGCTAACACTTAATGATATGCCTATGCTACCAAAGCTTATAACAGGTATGGACAGGTGTTGCTTGTGAGGGGTCAGATCAGAAATGAGATCCCCTGGACAGCACAACTGCTACCTATTCTACATTCTGCAATTTTATATTACCCCATAATATTTTGACTGAGCAATTTCTCCTGCTCAAGGGCATTTTTGCATCTTCCAACCACTGCCTTGTGTGATGCTGCTCCACTGGGAGACACAAAGGGTCTGATTCTCATTTACACTAAGGTCTCTTTGCTCTGCTCTCATAGCACAAAGGGGCTTCAAAGTAAGCACAAATGTAATCTAGGCACACTTTTCAGCCTCTTCTCGTTGTTGGAACAACATAAAAGGGCCTTAATGTAAAGGAGAATCAGGTCCAACGTCTCCTGGAGCTCCCTTTCTCTGTGTGTCTGTGTCTGTGTACACACCTGTCCCCCACTCTTAGAATCCTTATAGAGGTACAGTGTTGTTTAGCCTGCCAGCTCCCGTAGGATTTATGTAGAGGGATGGGACCCTACCTCTTTTCCTTTCTGGATAGCTATTGCTTTCACTTGTGGACAGAGAGGCAGGCCATATGCGAGCCTTTAATTAATACTGAACTGATTCTGGTGGGTTTTTTTAAAAAACCATTCAGATCTTTTTGGCTATAATAATATCATGAATGTTACAAAACATGTCATAATGCAGCACGCCAATAGAATATGAGTTGGCACCATTCTATACCAAAATAAAACTCCTTATTTAGGACTCCCAATTCAAATGTGTACAGCTGAATGGAAGCGACTTGCTTATGTCCCAGGGGAGAATTTGGCCTTTTCTCATGTAAAATACATGCACAAATACAGGAAGAGCCTACATGCCACAAACATAACAAGCATAATGAAATTAGCAAAGTGAAAAGTATTTGACAACTGAACAGATGGGTAACAGACTTTAAACAAAGAGAGTTCCTTAATTCCTAGCAAGATTTATTAGCAAGATGCAAACATTATGGAAAATTAGATTAACTGACTAGATGGTTTTC